CAGTGGAAAAGTACTTTAAAATTCAAGAAAACAATAGAATGGAAATATAATTCAGGTGAGAAAAACAGTAAGTGAATATAAAATAAAATGGTGAATTCAACTGTGAAGATATTACAGTTTACATTAATTATAAAAACTGGAATTACTATCAGACAAAGAATGTAAGACCATATTTTTTAAAATTAACTATCTACCCTGTTTATAAGACATGCTGAATTTAAGTATACAGGAAGGCTGTGAGTAAAAAAGTAAGAAAAATCCTACTGAACCCATAACCAAAATAAGCAATTTTACCTCCAATAATATTACCATTGTTTTCCAAAATAACAAATAAAATTAAATATTAATATTTTTACATTATTATTTGAAGTCATTTTAAAGCATACCATTCTCAATTTTATGCACCTACTAAATAAACTTCAAATTAAATAAGTCTAAGTGAACAAAAAAAAGAATACACAGAATCTATTGACATAATAAAATGATATTGAATACCTTTACAATAAGATATAAATTATTTTAAAATTAATAAATATGGGCTAGGATTATAGCTCAGTGGTATGCCTCGCATGCATGAGACCCTGGGTTCGATCCTCAGCATCACATAAAAATAAATAAATAAATAGTATAAAAAATTAATAAATATAAGTGCACATTAGACTGATAGAATGTAATGAATGTAACCTAAGTGATGAATGTATATTTATGACAAGAAAACTTAGTAGATTTGAAAAGGTAGAAATCATAAATAATGTATTGTGCAGATACACAGGATTTAATTGAGGAAACAAATAAAAAATATTTAACTAAAATAACCACATCTGGATATTAATCTAAATACATGAGGATCCATGTGGAAACTTTAGTCACACTAGTATCCAAAGCTGACATGTGTTTAATCAAAAATGATCTTTCTGGCAAAAGGTAGAATAGAAGAGAAGAAATATAATTGTTAAAAGTCATTTCACCCACCCTGATAAAATGCCTCTTCAAAAAGGTCAAGATGATATTTTCAAATAGCATTTAACCATTTCACTTACCATTCTTAGAATGGTTTACTACGACTTGGTCTCTAGAAAAGATTAAGCTTCCCACTTGACATTCCATTTTAACTTTGGAAATATTTATGCACCAGAAATCTCCAACTTAAAGAGATTGTACTACTTTTAATTCACTCTTTTCAAGCACAATTTTTGTTTTAATTACATTTGAACTTGAAATGGAAGTAAAGAAATAAATAAACCTCCAACTTAGAAGCCAAGTTGTCCAAGACAACAGTTCAAAGTACAATACTTTTAAGGCTGTTCTATGGCACTTATTTGACCCACTTTTGTAAACTCAAAGAACATTTTAGAGACTTGAAAAGTTCAACCAATTAACTAGCTTTAAAAATTGGTGTCTTATGATTTTCCTTTGAGATAAAGAGAATGCTGTTAGATTATCAATAATTCATCATAAGCATCCAGTTGAGCTATCATCTGGATCAAGTTTGTCATGTGCCACAAAGAAACTAAACACCTTTGGTTGTTGCTCATGACCTCTCCTGGTTTCAGTACTGCCGCGTCCGGCTAACGGAGCCGAGTCTGGCGAGGGACGGCGGGGTTAAAAATACACAGGACACCAAGGTTCTTCATCCAGGAGGGGGCATGTGCGCGCGCGCACGCTTTATTGCCAGATTTGTTCCCCTTATATATCTTTTTAACAGCTGCCGGAAATTACTCAAAAGTGAGGAGGGAAGAGTAATAATTGCGTCCTTGGGTTACCGTCATGTCACCATCCCCTATCAGGAGGCTCGAACAGGTCAAGATGTTCCCGAGACACATGTGCGAGGCAGATAAACAGGGAACCGCAAGCCTGCGTCATGGCCTTGTGAGCTGGCCACATTGACATGCATAACAAAGAACTGGGGGTTGAGTCCCCAGGGGCCAGGGCGGGCCTGCTATCAGCACAGTACTACTCTTTAGATGTGGTTGTGTTTCTGCTGGCCCGTGTGGCAAATGTGATGTTCATCATCACTAAATGCTGTCTGTTTTGTTGCCAAAAGTTTGCTAAACCAGGAAAGAAGCAAAAAAAAGGAGAAGTTTATTCAGCCTGAACCTGGGAGTCCTAACAGATGGACTTCTTCTAGTGTATTCCAGCAAAAAGCTGTTACAATGCTAGACTCCCTACTGTTGTGAGAAATTTTCACAACCTACCATAATTAACTCAAATTTCTTTTCCAGAATTTTGATTCCTGGTTAAGGAGTATAAATGTTTCAGGTCAAAGAAAAATCAAACATTGGAGAAGAATAAACTATATGAACCTATGTAGAAATTTAATAGTGTAATTTATTCTTCATACCAATAAACCTATTGAGCTTAATTATAATTATTCTTTGTGATAAGACTAGAAAGGATTTACTCAGAGTATCAATATGGTTTCTCAAATTCTTGGCCTACTCTAACTTAATTTTAGTAAAGAATTTTGTACATTTAACTTTCTTAAAGAAAACACTCAATAATTTCAATTGTGTAAAAAGACTAAATCCTTCGATTGGATTTCAGAAACCAGTATTTCTGCTGTATTTTACTATAAACCCAGCCTCAGCATAACTTCTCTCCTGAGCATCTGGAAGTATGTTTGCCAAGTTTCAGCTAAGTCACTTCTCAATATAATGTGTATGGAATTAGAAACATAATGATTTTTATCTGCTTTCTATGGTTGAGCTATTGAAGAAAATATTTGGTTTTTTTAGCTCATTGTTATTTATTCTTAATCTTTCACATAAATTCAACTGGTTGCCCACTCTCATAATCATACTTTGGACATAGATACTAGGTCTCAATTATAGGTTGTGCTAATACACAACAGGAACAGGAAAGAAACTTGCTCTCACCTCAAATAAGACACAATGCTACCTACATTTGTTACAGTTATATTGTGAAATGTACTAAATTTTGTAGACAGTTTGCAATTATGTTTACTGTTCTATAATTTGTAATTATGAAGAGCTT